TCTAGTCAAAAGTTATGGCTATGGTTAAAATTTGAACATATTTGGTAAAAATGGGTCAAACTCCAAGGTCAAGGTCACGAGGAATTTTATAGTACCAAAAGAAAGGTCTTGTCACAAGGTATACACCTATGAAATAGGAAAGCCATAGCCCCACCCACTCAAAAATTATGGTCAAGGTTAAAGTACAATAGATGTATATAGAATCATTTATTTTGACAAAAACGTCATTGTCTACGAAGTTTTCGGAAAACCCTCGTACATGTTAAAGAAGCGAATCGGAGATCACTTTAAAAAGAAGAAAGATGGCCCCAAACCAACGTAGCTAGCCCACAATGGATAATATACAATTAATGGGTAAACATTGTGCCAGAAGCTGGTTAACAGATACCATATCTAGAGCTTCATATTTTTACAAGGGAGAGACCTTGGAGAGACCCATTGACTGTCAAAAGAAACGGAGTTTACAAGACCGGAAAACCTATTAAGCTAGCCCGGTCAAAATCGGGAAAACCCCTATAATACTGTAAAATAGAAGAGTTCATAGATCGATGGTCTGGCTAACATTGTGGATCCGATAAGAGAGGTTCTGAAAGAGGTCTTTTAAAAGGAATTAAGTTTACAAGACCGGACACCTTTTACATAATCATGTATTTAGCTTGCCCGGTCAAAATGATGAATACATACAATACTATTTTTAAAGAGTACATAGTTAGAGGAGCTGGACAACAGCCTGGATCCCGTAATTAGACCTTCATATTTTTACAGGGGAAAGGGTCAGGGAGAGACTCATTGACTTTCAAAAGTAATTGAGTTCACAAGACCGAAAACCTTTTGAGCTCGTATGCTCAAAATCGGGAAAACTCGTACAATACTGTTTTAAGAGTACATATGCAATAGATCGAGGACTGGTTAACACTTACATATAAATAAAAAACAAAGCAACTAAAGCATTAGCATTACAGTGGTGTGCCTTCTTTAAATAGATTGACTCGCACCTTATTTGCTTTTTATGATTAATTAGCACTTATTTTATTTATGATTGAGTTACTTTACTCAAAGCGACACCGGTACGCACAAACGTGAAAATGGACAAACAGGATACTCACTCCTCCATGACACCTGATTCCACCTTTAATGTTTTGGAGGTCCGTATTTGTTTTGCTCCTATTTGTATTGTTTTATGGAAAGAGCAAGAGCCACTTTGGGCCTTATTTGGCCCTGAGAAATTCTGAAAAGTCAAAACCGCTCAGTTTAGATTGCAAATGCAGTGTTTATCTTGAAATGTTGGTGACCACGTATCTCTGAAACATGACGCAATTTTACCTTTAGTCAATGCATTATGATGTCATAAAATGCGTCATTTTCCTCATATCCTGTAAATCCCTTTGAAAGTGGCCTAAAGTTGAAGTATTTTTTCAATATTTCATATAAAGCACAACCTCTGATCCAAAATATGCGTTTTATATTTTGGATCGTGAGCTGTGCTTATATTTTAATTCTTTGCTGAAGGTAGTGAAATACGTATGTTTTCTGCAAATTTCAAGAACATTTCAATTTTTCAAAGCCTGATTTCCAATATCTGGATTCTCAAAAAGAACTTTTATTAAAGGAAATGAAAGCACCAAGTGTCTACCTTATTTTGATACTGTATATGAAACGGGAAAGAGGATGATAGTTAAATAATTGATATAAGTACAGGGTCATATTATGCATAAGGTAAACCTAACTCTTTGAGCGTGAATACTGTTCGTTATCTCCATATATTTCATTTTATTAGCTTATGTATTGAAGTCCAGGAGGCTTTATGCAGCTCTATGTCTGTTTTGATTATGATTGCTATTCGTTATATTCACATTCCATTTTGGTTGACCTTGCATAGAGAAAATGGGGGTACAAGGCGGGCAGAATGCCTATTTAGCGTCGGATATTAAGAAATCATATTCAATATGTAAATTGAGTATTTAATTTAACGTCTCATTATTAAAATTTAAAAAATTATGAAAAAAAACTTTTTCTGAGAGAAAAAATCTCGTACAATTTTTTTTCTTTTATAAAAATATTAGATAGTATTCGTGGGATTCGAACCCCCTAGCAATAAAAATTCGAAGTTTCATACTGCTTTGAGACTAACGCGCTAACCACAATGCTACATGACTCATGATAACTTTTGGCATTTGAATCATGTTTGTGATATGACCCTTGGATTAATGGACTTGAAGTATTTCTCGGAAAGATGCGAATGTTTTGTCATAAAAATATACTTTTAAGGTATAGTGAGTCTTCGCTCCATGTTTTTGTAAACCAAAAAAATGTATATTTCACTGCAAACTTTCAGGATTATCATTCAAAAACATGGAGGGAAGACCCATCTATATTGAAAAATTTTGTCAAAGTATGAGAAAATGATCGTTTTTGTTCTTTTTAGTGTGTGTATGCTTTGTTACAACGCGAAATGTAATAACAACGCGAAATGTAATAAACCTGGATTATAACATTTTGCGTTATTACATTTTGCGTCGAAATCAACTTAGAATGAAATAACGCAAAATGTAACAACACATTTTGGAGAATTATTACATTTCGCGTTATTACATTTTGCGTCGAGATCAACACAAAATGTAATAACGCAAAATGTAATAACACAATTTTTGGATTATAACATTTTGCGTTGTTACATTTTGCGTCGAGATTAAGCAAAAGGCAGTAACGCAAAATGTAATACATTTTTTCGTCGGCCAAATTGAGTACAATTTTCAATAGTGTAGTGGCCGATGAAAAGAAAATAAAACAAAAGAAATAAATAGATCAATTTCTTACAATTAATATATCTTTTAATATATTGATATAATTAGTTACTTGCATTCTAAATCAGTTTAATAAATGCATTCATATAACATGTGTTGCAAATTAGAAACGTGCATCTGAGGGCAAGGTTGTTTGGGGTATTTACCTGTGTGCTTTTGCTTTTTTTTTATAGACAATTGCAATGAATTTAAAAAAAATATTCATTTGTACTAGCAGGTGTAAATGTATAGCGGGAAGGGGTTTATTGACAATAATGACACCATACTGTTCCATGCAAATCTCCAACATTGCAGACAAGCAAAATCTAAATTCTCTCTCTATCTCCTCTCTCTTTCTTTCCATCCTATAATGAAACGGATTGTTTCTGCATGTCCACAGTAATACAATAATAAACATACGAAGTAAACATCCAGCCCTATCCCTGCCCCTCCGATCCTTGCTTGAAACACACATACACTTCTTTTCATTTGTTAACCAATGTATACGTGCCGAAAATGCATATCAAGAGCTTTTAATGAACCTATGGTCAATCTTTGTTAATTAAATATGTTTTATTGGTTAGAAATTTAATAAGACTATCAAAAATATGCCAATCAAAGTTAAATTAATTCTTTATAATTAAGTACAATGTATTCAGTATAACTAAAATCAGAGTCAGAAAAACGATACATTTTGATTTATTTATGTCCGGAAAAAACCTTAACGTTGATCTCATTGTTTAAGTTCAAAATATTTTTACAGCGCGTTTCCCATGTTGGTTACAAGTATATATTTGAATCAATTTTATGATCTTTTTTTTGTTCAACGCAATCAAAAATATTAATTATATTTTGTTTTATTACATTTTATTTTATTACATTTTGCGTTGTCTACAGCGCAAAAATAAAATAACGCAAAATGCAACAACGAAAAAGCACGTCATTACATTTTGCGTTGATCTCGACGCAAAATGTAATAACGCAAAATGTAATAATCTTAAAATCCTGTTATTATATTTTGCGTTATTACATTTTGTGTTGATCTCGACGCAAAATGTAATAACGCAAAATGTAATAATCCAGGTTTATTACATTTTGCGTTGTTATTACATTTCGCGTTGTAACAATGCTTTTTCAAAGGCAAATATTTTCAGTCTTTGTGAGAGTTTTGTAAATTGTGGATATTATATTTTACATTAAGTATACTTTAATATAAGATGAAATATCAATTAAAATTTGGATATAATTGAGATTAAATTTTCCACTTCTTATCTATCGCAGTATAGGCACTTCGTCTGCCTTATCCCCCCATCTTATTATTATTATCTTATGATGATAATGATAAATCCACATGCGCTCACATGCAAAACAGCCTCTGTTTCTTTGTTCTTTTCCAAGTGCGAAAATTAGATTTTTAGATAGTAATTATAAAAATCAATGTAGTTGTTGTAGTTGGTGTATGTTTTACTTTCCATCACAGGATCGAAGATACTACAGTATTTTGGTAAAATATGAATCCAATCCAGTTTTAATGCTTTCATATACATAATTATGTTATTATTGAACATATAGAAAAGACATAAATTACATTAATTTGTAGATCTAATTTTGACAAAAATCACATTTGAAGACAATCAGATCATTCTGACTTAACTGATATACTAATACAATAACATAATATATCTTCTTTTAATTTTATTACTACTGTTGTATACTATTTATTTTGTATTATAATGCTTAAATTTTTTTCTTTTATTTGCTTGTCAGTTAGTAAAGCAGTGTTCCTGAAAATCCTGAGGTTCCACCGTTATATACTTGAAGGTTTGCACTACTTATATTTTCGACTTTTACATGATAGCCACGCTTTAGATTAACTATCACAGTTCTGCTTGTCTGATCCCAATTATTTCCAATATGAGTTGAAGTATAAACTTTCGCTACAGTTTGCTTGTTGACTTTTATAGCAAACCACGTCTCGACACTGGAGAGAGTGTCAACAACAAACATGTAAGTTCCCGCCACTGGACACACGAATACTCCTGTTCTATCATCATATCCATTACCATCGTTTGTCAGAATGCTATCATATCTAATGGTCTGTCCTTTTCCAAGGGAAAGAACTTTGGCTCCAATATAAACAGAGAAACTTACTCTCTTATTCTGATTCAAGGAAGCTGAATATACTTTGTCTGTAATTTAAAACAATGTTTACCTTAAATATGCATCAATAAAATCAATATCGAGAATGCAAAATAATTGAATTTTAATTATTATGACAATGTCCAAGAATGTCCAAAAAGTTTGCTTTCGAACATTTCTACTCTGAATTTTCTGGATTATAGTTTAATATTTTTCATTTATACACAACAAGATTGCAACTTTTCCTATGTATTAAGAATAAAATTAAAATATGTGAAAGAGTAAGGATGTGTCAATCAAACCCGTCCAAAAATTTGAAGTTTCAATAACTTTTAGATGAAATAAGATTTTTATTTTATTTTCTTGTGAGATGCTATTGCAATATACTAGAATAAGTCGTGATATTATACAGAGAATTTGAGAAAATATCAACTTGAAATCTATGTCTATGCACCTTTAAATTACATTTGCAACCGTCAATGGAACACATGACTGTCGTAAACTTAAAATCCATATTTAAATGTTTAAATTCTACCTGATGTTGAGAGGTTGACCAACTCCTTAAGAGCTGTAGAGTCCAGTGTAACTGTAGCCTTAGCATTACTGTAGATCAAGGACTTTATGGAGTCAAGCTTTGTCCGTGTGTCTGACTGTGTTCCTCCTGACACATGGTGATAATTATCCACCAAATGTAGTATCAACATCAGCACTTGAAGATATGCCACCATTTTCTTTATTTTAACACAATGCAAAAAGTAACTACTAACTAAAGATAACAGTCAGAATATCATTGCTTTTTATATCAATAAAATGTACACCTGTCACAGTAAAATGTGTATGCAATAAGTTCATCAAAATATCATATACCACAAGGTTTCAATCTGCAGGTTATTTCTATTTTCCTATTATCTTGTAAGTAATCAACATTTTATTTTTCAGTGAAATGGGTTGCTGGCTGACTGAAATGTCTCCCTTTTTATCCATTATTCAGAAAAAAACATCAGCAAGCTTTGAATGTGCAATGAAGACAGCACTCTGGGCAATGCCATGACTACTCTCTCTAGACTGTGGACTTCATCAAACAAATTGAAGTAATTCTTTGAAAATGCTTCTCTTTCTAGGGATTAATGGAGAAATGACCAGACTTCCTGATAAATTACATAGTACCTCCATAAAACTATAAACCTAACAACATATAACACATAAAATCTTTGTTAAAGCCAGGAATCAAAGTATGAATATTAAAATGGTAAATCACTGGTGCATTCCATTATCCTCCTCTGCCCATCAACACTTAAGTATTAAATGTTGATTATAATTCCAATTTGTGTGAAAATGAATTTCACTACAATTCTCATTCTCGTCGCTTTCATGTTCAGTTAAACCAGCAAATATCACATCTTCAAAGAGCTCCGTAATCACTTATACAATATTTAACTCTTTATCTTTCTCTCTCTCTCTTTTGAATTTGTAATATTGAGCATGCAGTCAATAAATGCATCATATTCTCCATAAAAACTTACGTATTTTAAAAAGTTAAAACAATTATCATGAAATAATTATGATATAACTGAAAATGAAAGTGATGAGAATTAGAATTCTTCGTTACTTCTCATAATTCGAATTCTTTGACTAGAAATAAATGTATCAATAAAATAACGTTCAGTCAAACAGATAACTAATATATTTTTGAAGTTTTATTTTCGATAGCTATATTAAATTAGAACTAATTTATGTAGAACGACGTGTCAGTGGCACTTTTCATAGCCTACCAGAGAAGTTAGGGTTTACGAAAATTGATTGTGTACCAATCCCTTAATGTATCTTTTTTTTCTTGGATGAGCCACCTAATTTTTTTTATAGAAATGTTGTGTAGAACCAAATGAATATGGTAGTTGGTTATATACTACTGTCTTTTTTTAAAATTTAATAAATATGCCTATATCATATTTATACAAGTACTTAAAATTAGCTTTGCATGCATGTAATAACGCTTACTTGTTGTAGACTATATAACAGAAGATCAGGTTTCAAAAGATTCTGTTCAGGTACTGTAAAATCATATATTTTCAGGGGTCAAATTTTCGTGGTTTGAGGAAAATCTCAAGTTTGTGGGGATTTGATTTTGTGGATCAAGAATTAATGAGTACTTATGCATGTAACATTTTACATTTCGTGGTGGACTTGAATCGTGGATCTCATCATACCTCGAAAACAACGAAAATTAACCCTCTATGAAAATATGTGATTTTACAGCATGTATTAGTTTTGATTTGTACATTTTTAGCTTACGAAAGTAAGGAATCTGTTTTATTTTAACTTTTTTGTGTGTACAGCTGTATATACATGTATTGGGGTCCAATCCAAGTCGTTACTAAGTAGATTTTAATTTGTGAAGATTTTTTCCAGATATTGAATGATTTTTAATAGAAAATGGAACTTGTGTGCACGTCAACATGATGCTTGTTTCTTTTGTTTACATTGTATTCACCATTATAATGAACTTTAGATTTGTCTTTTTACTGGATTAAACCTGTATGTTAAGGTGAGACAATGATATGCACTTTCTTCCATCTTATGAAGAATGGCCGGTATTAAAAAACATCATATATTATAATTTTTATGCCACGTATTCACAATTTTAGTAGTACATACCTAGCATAATACTAGTGGATCTTTGGAGTACATTTACTTTTTCAATAATGAATGGTTAAATACGATGGCAATTATAAAATCCTACTTTTAAGGAATATGTTCATATCAGAAAAAAAGAGTACAACAACATATATTCTGTTTTTATTGTGCAACATTTACATTTTCGTAAGTCAAAGAATTATGGCTCTATTTCTTTGTTTGTTTGTTTGTTAGTATAGCAATGTTCCAGTGAAACTCGAGTATGCATTGCCTTGCATTTGAAGGGTTACTCCATTATCTGTATTATCAACTTTGACGTGGTCACCACGTTTCAGTTTTACTATCAGAGTTCTGCTAATTTGAATCCAAGGTTTGTGCTTGACATATCCTTTATACGCCCTTGCTACAGTTTGCTTGTTTACTTTTATGGCAACGGAGCCCTCCGCGGTGAAAGTGTCAACAACAAACATGTAAGTTCCCGCCACTGGACACACAAATACTCCTGTTCTATCATCATATCCATTACCATCGTTTGTCAGAATCCCATCATATTTAATGGTCTGTCCTTGACCAACAGTAAGCGCTTTGGCCCCAACAAAAACAGAGAAACCAACATTGGGGGTTGGTTTTGAAGAACCTGCAAATTTAATGTTGCATATCAAAATCTATCTTCATACACAAAACTCATTTTAAATAGTTTAATCCTCACTTTTCAAAAAGTTACTTGAGTACGTTCTTAGCAAAGTGAACTCAAGGTTTAAAGGAGAAAAAATCAATACATGTATTTCTTCATGCTACTAAACCTTTGAGAGGTAAATTCAATATTTAAAAAATCCTTCTATGTGTTTTAATCAGTAAAGGGGTTAGGGTAATCAAAATACAAGATGCAATTTAAACGATGTTTCCATGTCAACTACAAAGTTACATTACATACCAAACATTTACAAAGGACGATGGAAGAAAATTTTGTTGGATTTTTTCTTTGGAAGCGGGATTTAATCTATAAGTTGAATACAAAAGTGTTTGAAATTAATATATATTACCACGTAATCAAAATAGAAAGCAATTTCTTTCTCGGATGGCCCATTTGGAGATGTTAATATATACAGAGAGAGATACATCTTTTGTTTGTTTGTTTGACGTCCTTTTCTAGAATTTTTCAATCATATGGGGACGCCACCATTGTCGATGGAGGGCTACAAAATTTGTCCTATACTTTGCACTTACGGCCATTGAGCAGGGAGGGATCTTTTTCTGCCATTAAGCAGGAAGGGATCTTTTTCGTGCCAACACCTACTGCGAGACAGGACCTCGGTTTGTACGGTCTCATTCCAAGCGACATAAGGGCTGACTCCTTACTCCACGACTCTAGAGCAGACACTCTAACCACTGCGCCACTCGCGCTACTATAAATACATCTTAGTTAAAGCATTTCGATATTGTAAGAGTTCTTTCACATTGTACATCTTTTAAAATGATTATAACTTTGATCCTCTATTTAATTTTTTCCTATTAATTTGATTTTTTGTGATTTTATCACAAAATATAGTTTATCTATAGGATAATGGGTCGATTAACTTTTCTTGCATATATCAAGAGATATACATGTATTACTGTAAAATTACATGTTTTCGTATGATCAGGGGATTGAATTTCTTGATAAAGAATCGTTGAATAGTTATATATGCGACATTTATAATTTGTGATTGTCATGAATTCCTTGGTCTATTCATACTTTGAAAACAACCCCCACGAAAAATATGGATTTCACAGAAATAAATTCTCAAATTTTGCGACTTGATAATCCCTATGATATTACCCGTTTGTTTCTACATGTTTACAAATGTAGGTGTAAATTTAATATTGCCTGAAATAATACAATCTCCTTTCTATTGAAATTTTAAAATCTACCTGATGATGAAAGTTTGACCAGTTCCTTTAGAGCTGTAGAGTCCAGTGTAACTGTAGCCTTAGCATTACTGTAGATCACGGACTTAATGGAGTCAAGATTTGTCCGTGTGTCTGACTGTGTCCCTCCTGACACAGAGTGATAGACATAACTGACAAACAGCAGCATTAACATCACAAATTGAAGATATTACATCATTTCAAATTTTTAAACAATACGCAAAAGAACAACATAGATTTAACAAAAACATATTTATAAGAATGAAGGTCTCATCTGTTACAGGAAGGGCGCACGCAATAATTTCATTAAAGTATCAAATTACATAAAACTGAGTTATTATATATTTTTTGTATAAACAGGCACTTCTATCATACAATTATTTTATCGTTAAGAAACTGGAAATTTACTCATAATTCAGAACAACCTATTACCAATCTACACCTTGGACATCCGCTCCTCCATGAAACTTTGATTTTTTATTAAAACATTATTTGAGCCTTTTGTAACTAGGTTCATAACTAGGATTACCACTTATTATTAAGTTAGTTATTAAAGTTATAGTTATAGTTATTAAAAATAAAAGCCTATCTGTTATTCTACTTTATATTATTCCTTCTTATATTCATCATTACTTTAATTCAAATATTTACTCTACTGATCAGAGTGGATCAATTGTACAATAATTACATAAGTGGTTTAAAAAGGTTCATTGTGAATAGATGTAGCTGTTTTCGGGTTGTTTATAATTGCTATATTAAATTTTGATTTTTCCCTTGTCAGAACCTTTGACTAGTATTCGAATGGCGAACCGTATACGTATACTGTGACCGGTTCTCCATTTAAACAACCACAAATGTCCTCATAATTAAAAAAAAATAAATGACTCATTATAGTACATGTACATGTTAAAGCAAATCAAAGAGATCACATAAAAAAGAAGAAAGATGGTCCAAACCATTGTAGCTAGACTGACATTGGATAATAATTATACAATTACACTGTAATACGTAAACCTTGCGCCAGAAGCTGGTTAACATCCTGGTTCCCATATCTAGACCTTCATATTTTGAAAGGAAAGGAACAACCTTTATAATACTGTTAGAAGAGTTCATAGTTCGAGGGTTTGGCTAACATTATGGATCCGATATTTAGACCTTCAAATCTTCACAAGAGTGTGTCTGGAAGAGGTCTTTGCATTTTGAGAAGGAATTAAGTTTACAAGACCGGACACCTGTTACACAAGCATGTATTTAGCTTGCCCGGTCAAAATTACGAAGAACGCATACAATACTGTTTTAAAAGTACATAGAGGAGCTGGACAACATCCTGGATCCCATATTTAGACCTTCATATTTTTACAGAGGAAAGGGTCAGGAAGAGACTCCTTGACTTTCAAAAAGAATTGAGTTCACAAGACTGGGAACCTTTTGAGCTAGCCCGGTCAAAATCGGGAAAAACTCGTATAATACTGTTTTAATAATACATATATGTATATAGTTCGAGGACTGGCTAACACTTGCCTTTGATTTTTTTTAAAGTTATATAGTTTCTTAAAACTTACATATAGATAAAAAAAAAACAAAGCAACCAAAGCATTAGCATTCCAGTTGTGTGCTTTCTTTAATTAGATTGACTCGCACCTTATTTGCTTTTTATGATTAATTACCACTTATTTTACTAATGATTGAGTTACTATACTCAAAGCGACACCGGTACGCACAAACGTGAAAACTGACAAATAGGATGCTCACTCCTCCATGACACCTGATCCCATCTCTAATGTTTCGGAGGTCCGTGTTTGCTCTGCGCCTATTTGTATTGCTTTATGGAATTTTGAGCGTGAATACTGTTCGTGATCTCCACATATTTCATTTTATTAGCTCACAGATTGAAGTCCAGTAGGCTTTATGCAGCTATGTGTTTGTTTTGATTTAGATTGCTATGCCTTATATTCACAATCCATTTTGGTTGACCTTGCATAACTTTACTATTATCGTATGATGTTATTAATAAAGCCACATGACCTCACCTGGAAAACAGTCTCAATTCCTATCTTCTTATTCAAGTGCGAAAATTCGATTTTTAGATAAAAGTTATGAATATCTATGTCGTTGTTGTAGTTGATGGTGGTGGAAGTGGTTTTGTGTTTATTTTCATTTTTATGTATGGTTTACTTTCCATCTCATTATCTGAGGTATACTACAGTATTTTGGTAAAATCTGAATCCACTCCAGTTTTAAAACCTTGATATTACTTAATTATGTCATTATTGAACAGATAGAAAAGACATAAATTACATTAATTTGTAAATTTAATTATGACAAAAATTATATTTCAACCAGAGTATTCTGACTTTACTGAAATACAATAACATAATATATTTTCTTTTAATTTTATTACTTATACGATTTATTCTGCATCACAATGCTTAAAAACTCTTTTCTTTGATTTGTTTGCCAGTTTTAGTAAAGCAGTGTTCCTGAAAATCCCGAGGTTGCATCCTTAAATATTCGAAGATTTCCACCACTAACAGTATCGACTTTTACATGATCGCCATGCTTCAGATTAACTATCACAGTTCTGCTTGTCTGACCCCATCTATTTCCATAGTGAATTGACCTAAACACGTTTGCTACAGATTTCTTGTTTACTTTTAAAGCAAGCCAGGTTTCCACATTGGAGAGAGTATCGACAACAAACATATAAGTTCCCGCCACTGGGCACACAAATACTCCTGTTCTATCATCATATCCATTACCATCGTTTGTCAAAATCCCATCATATCTAATGGTCTGTCCTTTTCCAAATGTAAGAATTTTGTTCCCAGTATAAACAGAGAAACTCACTCTCTTATTTCGATTCAATGAACTTGCATACGCTTTGTCTGCAATTTAAAACAATGCTCATTATTTATTTGCATCAATAAAATCACAATTATATGGCAAAAGAATAAAACTTATTATTCATTACTATGTCTTAGAAAGTGATATATGGCCTGCCAATGACTGTTTATTGCGCTTGGTTCATTTTTTTTTAGAAGAGATCGGTTTTCAAGACAATCAAAAAACCCAAAGCTGAGAGTTTGTCCAGTTCCTTGCAATTAAGTTCACAATTGAGGCATTTCTTAGCAAATGCAGTCTAACTTTGATAGAATCCAAATCTCCGGTCTTTATACATTCAATTTATCATAAGCTCAGAAATGTACAAAAGTCGAAAGTATTTCTGAGTTGGGTGATTCACCCTAGCTATCTTCATTTTACTTTGTATAAGAAGATACGCTTTATTAGACACTCTTGAAAGCGTTTAACAATACCAAAAGATCATTGACATTGAAGTTCTTTTTATTTCTGGAAGAAAACTCATTTCTGATTTATTTGTCTCTATGATATGTTCACAGATCTGTACCATTACTAAGTACATATTACATGCATTACATAGCATTGCATATATGGCTGAGAGAAATATGATTCAACCTTCCTGTAATTGCATGTAGTCCTGTTTTTTTTAAAGTTAGATAACAGTTATATTTGTCAATGGAATACATATCTATTTATAACAAGGTCTCTAAATCATTACTTCACTAAAATCACAATTTTATTTAATATACTAGTATACCTGATGTTAATAGTTTGACCAGTTCCTTTAGAGCTGTAGAGTCCAGTGTAACTGTAGCCTTAGCATTACTGTAGATTAAGGACTTTATGGAGTCAAGCTTTGTCCGTGTGTCTGACTGTGTCCCTCCTAACACAGAGTGATGATTATTCACAAAATATAGCATCAACATCACTACTTGAAGATATGTCATTTTGTGTTGATTTTTTCAAACGATATTCAAAGAGAAATAGAGATAACATGCAAACCCCAGGGACTACCGGTATTTATATGATAAGACAGACATCCGTGTCAATAGACGATCATGCAATAAGTTCATCAAAATATCATATTTCTTGTAGCTTAATGATTTTTATTTCATATTTTGCTGTCAAAATTATTTTACCTTAAGTTTACTATCTGGGTTATGGAGTCATGGAATCAATAACTATTTGACTATTTTTGTTTGCACTAAAATGAGACATTTCTTCTTTTTTTTTTATTTCTTCCTTTTGTTACAAAAACATGTATACAGAATCATTCCAACATAATCATATAATCATATGTACTTACCATTCAAAACATGCATATATATTTCGTTCGTACATTGAATCAAAGTACACAATATCGAGGAGATAAAACAACCATCATCTTTTAGTATATATAACTTTGTTTTCATTCATGTAGTTTTCTTTGGGGGGGGGGGGATGCAAAAATATTTAAATCATTTTTAGCTATATTGTAATGCTGAATAATTAAATCCACTTCTAAAATAAAATGTTTTTGTAATCAGAAAAGAACGGCTTATAATACAAAACACTATATCCTTTCCTCATATTCATTTTTTCAAAACGGAGTTTATCATTTCTTTATATGAATTTGTTTTACCATTGTGAATTCTTATACGAGTAATACAGAATATAAATCTTAATGTTTTTGTCGTTTTACAACATATTAGGATATTGATAAGAAAATGCGTACAATTTTTCAGTAAGTGAATTTCTCATGATATATTTTATATGTTTAACTACGACCTTTCCCAAACGTAATTGGGTACAAAAGAATACGATGACTTTATTCATATATTAATTTTAAAAAAAAAACAGATTTATAAATGAACGTCACGTGATCAACAAGGTCATGTGATATCCTTAAAAATGTTAATGTGTAATGAAGAGACCAAAGGTACTAGTAATCATTATATCATGACTCCAATGTGCGGCGTTTTCCCTTTACTGATGGTTACCAATCTGTTCTTTTCCACCAAAAATCTAATTTCAAATATAATTTTAAACAATATGGATCGGTCTTGCACATAGGATTTGAACTCGCTGAATTATTATTATTTTGCAAATGTTAGGTTTTTGAATGATTGGTAGTCCCTTAAGATTTACGTAACTGGACTGTCCTGAATTTTGCAGACAATTTCTAATTCTGTGAACTGCTAAAAATTTGAAGACAGGACATGCTCTTTTATTTATAAATATATATTTTTTAAAAGAGTATCCTAGTTTAGACCCATGTAAATTATAAACAAATATTTACAGTGCATAAAGGTGGACACGGTAGCGGTGGAGGTCATGGTGGTGGCGGAGGTCACGGTGGTGGTGGCGGACATGGACATGGCGGTGGTGGTGGCGGTTTGTCTCTAAAACAATTGCAACAACTTTTACAAACAGCACGACAGCTAAGCCAACAAGACAACGGAAACGAATTCTTCTGGACAATCATTATAAATACGCTAGAGTACCTTGTTAACAATCATCATTAGAAGTAAGGGTACTAGTAAATCTTTGCCAGTCCCAGTAAGAAATTATATTTTCTGTGTATGGATAGAAAGATTTTTGTATATTAATGTACATGTATAATGTTTTTTTGTTTTGTTTTGTTTTTTTAGATAAGGTGACCGGATTTCACGGAACCCACAAGAAAGACATGGAGCTTCTCAATATCTAACTCAAGAGCTTTCAATTTTTTTTCTTAGAATTTTGTTTTATGTATGTTTAATGATAATCAGTGCGAATTAATAAAATGAAATGATACATGTAAAAACCAAATATATTAATATATTAGTTGGCAGTTAACCAACTTTTAACTCCAATACGAAAGAGAGAGAGAGAGAATAAAACCATTCTGTTTTCCTTTGAACAAAGGGGTAAATGCCTTTGAAATTTTGAAGAGTTCATTTATTTTAAGTGTATGAAAACCGAATGCATCTTTATGTCGTATGAAATTATCTAGAACAGTACTAGACCGCTTCGTTTGTTTGTATTTTGTTTAACATCCCTTTAACATACACAGGCACTTGTTTCGGAAATAAATTTTTAACCCATTAGTATGATAATATAATTATACTATGGGTTAATTAAAAATTTATTTACGAAACAAGTGCTGTGCTAATATATCCAAATATAGAACAGATTTGACAGAGTCTGTGGTATCTTTTATTTCAAGCTCACAGGGATATATCGTATGGACTTTGGAATGGAAATTATTAATTGACAATACATCGTCAGCATAAATACGAGGGTTGATCCAAAAGTAATGTCACTGTATCAATATCTTTAATATTTGTCGTCATATTATCAAATATAATGTACCAAAAGATGCATAAAAATAAATTTCAAAATTGAAAATTTCATTAAAATATGTTTAATTGCATTAATTTTATAAACGTTTAAAATATTAAACATAAGGGGTGTCGCCGCGTTTTACAGTGTTTATTGTTAGAATGATCAAAGACAAACACATAAAAAAACATCTAAAAAGCGTCTAATCGCCTAATACATGTATTTAAATGAATTGACGTCACTGCTTTTTGATCATAAACATTGTTGTTGTAATCTGCTGTATTTAACATAAGAAATGTCGAAATGAAAAAAAAAAAACGCTGAAAGGAACTGTAATTTTTAGTTTCGAAAAGGGGAATCGCCCGTATGGACAGTTACGATGATTAATCAGACACACAGAGAAGAGAATGTGAATAAGAGGCTTAATTTGTTTATAGATGGGTTAAGCAATTTTTAGTGGGTCATGGGTGATTGAATGATCAGCAGAGGGCAGGAAGACCGAAAAAGGGACTTAGGTGCAAATGTTCAATAATGTCTGACGTTGATCTAAAAGGGGAAGCGTTTAAGCGTATGACGGCGCGTATCCGTCACATGCAAAGGCGCTTGGTTACAGGATGGTGTATTTTGTGTATTATGTGTTTTTCTATGTGTGCCTGAATACCGTCATTAAAATAAAAATAAAAAATTGCCGAAATTAGCACGTTTTAAAAAATGTCATATTTACTGTATATAAAAAAGACCTTCTTATTATATACAGTAATAAATATGCCATTTTTTAAAACGAGCTAATTTCAGCGAATTTTTATTTTTATTTTGATGAGGGTATTCAGACACACATAGAAAAACACATAATACACAAAATACACCATCCTGTAACCAAGCGCCTATGGTCATATGACGTTATTTAGGTGCGGCAACTACCATGAATACACTTTGTATACAATTCGATATCTTGAAAAGTATAAATCATTTTAATTTAAATTTTTCAGGACTGATTTGTAATGAATATAGCTTCAATCATGTATAATTTCATTTATTTATGTCGACTAGTAGCAATTATTGGAGTTGTGACATTATACTTTTGGATCAACCCTCGTATACTGAACCGCAAAAGAAACGCAACAGCCTACTTTAGGGGGAAATAATTATGTAAAGTAAAGAATTTTGTATCTTAAAATTATGGATATGTTCAATTTGGTAAATATCGGTAATTTAACGGTTGAACGATTTTCGTACCATAACCGGAAGTCAAGTTTGAGTCTGCTTAACAGAAATAAAAAATTGCATGTTTAACAAAACATTTGGCAATATTATGGAGTTTTAAGGGTTTGTTCTGTTCATCTTCAGTAATGCAGCAATATTTCAAAAAATAAAATTTCCTTTCGTTTCCCGTAACAATGCTAAGGCTTCTTGAAAATGGCTTAAGTACGCATTTCCATTGCTCTAGCTGGAAAATCTCAAAGGAAAGATGATGGAGAGTTGATGATGCAAAAATACACTACATTACGCCTCAACGGGGTCTTACGTATCATATGCATAAATGATAGTCCTTGGACCGGAAGTCCAAGGGTTTCTACAATGCGCTAAGTTAGAGAAAATTCGACCCAATCATCTGAAAAACAAGCATTTAAAAATGGCAAAGAATAATTCCTTCGCTCAGATCTCGATATTGAATAACCTATTAACCTGATTAACCTATACATGAATCAGATGTGGATACTCAAAAATTACAAAGAACTTTTGGACAATTCGAAATCACAAGATTTTACCAAAATCAACAGCTTAAAAACTTACGACTTTTCAACTTTATACACAACCATTCCCCAATAAAAAAAAATCCCCATAAATTAAAGTCCAGGCTTTTTGATATCACTGACAGCTGCTTTTTCAATAAAAATGGAACTCGTAAATTTACTTATCCTGTCATTGGTTATTTGCAAAATTATTTTGTTAAAACACAATCTGATTGCACACACAAGTACTCTGAAGTTGACATCAAAAAGATGTTGGAGTTTCTGATTGACAATATCTATGTGGTTTTTGGAGACCAGATCTTCCAACAATCTATTGGAATTCCCATGGGTACCAATTGCGCTCCGTTATTAGCAGACATATTTTTATATTCATATGAAGCAGAATTTGTGCAAAATCTTATATATATATGCGTGAAAAGAAGAAAACACTTGCTGTGGCCTTCAACTCGACATTTAGATCTATCGACGACGTTTATCAATTAACAATGGTAATTTCCATTCTTATGTAGATGCGCGATATATCCTGGTGATCTTGAGTTAAAAGATACCACAGAGTCTGACACATCTGTTTCATACTAGGATATTTTACTTGAAAAAGACGTTAATGGTAATCCAACAACCAAGCTATATGATAAATGTGATGACTTTAATTTTCTATCGTCAACTTCCCTTACTTATGCAGAAATATACCTTCATCACCTGCATATACGGAGTATATATATATATCTCATTGATTCGATACGTAAGAGCATGCTCTACGTATGAAGAATTTCTAAAACGAGGTAAATTATTGACAAGCAAGTTGATAAAACAAGAATATCAACAGTCTCGTTTAAAGTGATCATTTGGTAAGATCTATGGTCGATACAATGACCTTGTCAGCAAATACA